TTATGTGATAGCTTTTTATCCACGCCGATGCACTGCAATCAATGCAGTAACAGCGCGTGGCTGTTACCAAGATTATGTTATAAATGAAACCGCGCGAAAAGATTTTTCAAGAACTCCCTTACACTATGCGGTTTTTATAAAATTGGAGTCTTTCATTATTTTTTGCACGCTTTACAGTGTTCCTTGTATCGCTTCCAGGAACAGATATTCGCCCCTATTCAAACAAAGAAGTGGATAAGACTGCGAACAATGATCAAATGTCTAAGATTTATAAAATATGCAGAACCTTAAGTCCAATACCGATTTACTTTTTTCTAAAGTAATGTTCATTCTTTATCAGCATTCCAATTATATCTAGCAAAGGAAGTTTTGAAATACTTACTATTCATTATTGGGTGTACTGACAGTTTTTTTTTTTTTTTTTTTTTGGGGTGTTGTTTCATAAAGACTTCTGACTAATATTAAAACTGTCGGACACCATTTTCCGCTGCCTTCCCCTTTCGTCTTAGATTTTTAAGACACTTTATCAGTTATGGGAGTACATATTTTAATGCAATTTAATACATTTTATACATAATAGTTATTTATAATAGATTCAGTAAGTGTTTACTTAACTAATTCTGTGTAACATTTAAAAATGTTTAGCATTTATTCACACATTCTATAGCCACTCGGTGTCATATATAACTTTCAGGCATTTCATGAAACCTTGTATTATTGTTTGCTGTATGAGGTTTGATGTGCCCTTTATGGCTACACACATCTAACATTGTCAAAAAGAGACCCGGACATGTCACCAGTTATGTCATTGAGGGGTAAATTTTGAAACACAAAGGTGTGAAAATTTCCCTCCATGGAGCATAAGCCAAACATAATTTTGAACCAACAGTAGGTCCCTGTTCGGTGGCAAATGATTACTTAAATGTTCAGTGACATTTTATTCAACTTTTTTTAAGCAGTGACCTATTTACTCTCTCCAAGTATGCTTACTATAAATGACTGTATTTTACATTTTTATAAAAATAATATTTAGTACATGTGTTCATGTGAAAAAGATATCATTCTTAAGCTTAAAGATACTTTAAAAATTAAATAAAGTTGAAATATAAACATTAAAAAATAACAACCTAATAAGTTCTATGAAAGTGGCCTAAACTTTGTTATATTACTTAAATATTACAACAATTATTATCTCCCTTCGTCAAGACAAAATAATTGAAACAGACCCTAGAATATGTTGTCATTTAATATGCGAATGTTTATCAAGAAATTGTATAAGTTTATCACCAGTTTGGGTATGCATATGAATGAACTACGAAGGCCGTAGGCTCGGACAATTATTATTTCGTTTCTAGCACTACAAATTAAAGTTCCAGAGATCACCAACGCTATTTTTCAAAAGGCAAACATTTCCGCTGTCGATTTGGAAAAAGATATAGGAAAATAAAATATATATTTTCATTTTAAAGATGCATTTCTCAAAATGAGCCAACCATTTTCAAAAAATCAATTCTGAAAAAAATGCATAAAGATGTTAAAAAAGTATTTATTTATTTACAATTGAATAAATGATGCATGTAATGAATGACTGATTTTGCCATGATATCTTTTTACCAAATTTCTGCTGCGTAAATAGCGCAGTAGGAGCTGTTTTTGCATAGTTTAACATGTATTTTTCAAATAATTACAGTAGTTTGAAAGTGCTTCTTTGAATATGTATATCATTGCTTTGTTCATTTGATAATATTATATGTTTAAATCGACGTTCATATAAATAATTTAATGAACATAAGAATTAATCTTGAGCAATGCTGCTTTCAATGTACAAATTAAGCTGAGTTTTTTATATAAGAAGTTTAAATAGAATAAAGAGTATCCAAACAGGAATATGCTTGTATAAATTTTTAGAATTAATATAATGCTTGGATTATTTTTTATTTGCTTGCCTAATGACAAGTCATCTTGTCATAATTTAAAAGCAGTAATCCACTAGCCTCATGAAGCTTAAATAAGTTGAAGAGGGGCTATATATTATTTTATCAGACATTACTAATTTATATATAACCCCTTTATCATACAAAGGTGAATAAATGCATCTTCTTTAGTAAGTGGTAATTAGCTCGGCTATACGAAGTATATGGAGAGCTGTCCTACTCGCCCCGGCGTCGGCGTCCGCATCCAGATTTCAGATTAAAGCTTTGGTGCAGTAAAATATTTTTCACTATAACTTTGCCATTTCTTAAGGTATTAACTTCAAACTTCAAAGATATGATCCTTATCATCAACCACATCAACCAAGGTTCAGAACTCTAGCACCAATATTTACAGATTTATCTCCCCTTGAACTAAGAATTAGTACTATTTTTTATTATTACCCCTCACTTTTTTCGTAATGCTAATTTCCCATAGGCCTCTGGGAGTTATTCTTACTGTTAATGCAAGTGTACCACGTGACTTAGAATTTTGTACTGTTACATAGGTAACAGTATTTTTTAACAGTATAACATCTGGTCACGTGGTCTATTTTCTAAATAAAATGAAATAAAATGGCCGCTTTTTTTTCTCGATTCATTCTTATTTTCGACGATAGGGCATCGCCGAAGTAGCTATTGCTCCAATAAAATTTAGTTCTTTGCACCCTAGAGTTCCTTTCGTGTATAAAATATTTTTTTTGTTGAATAGTCAAAAGGAAACATCCGTTTCCAAAGGAAGTAATTTTTATGTGAATAATTTTGTGTCAAACTGGAACATGCAGCCGATTAAAGCATGCAACAAAGGATTATTTAACAAATTAAACCAGTGAAACGTTACAGATAGAGTTTATGGACATACATTTGTGTATTTTGATCCGTTGTTTTGTTGATTTGTTCGGCGTAAATTATGTTGGGGTGGGAGAAAAGGCGTTTCATTCCTTGTGTTTATTTATACTGTATAGGGGGTATATTTTTGATATTATCATTAATATTGATAAAATTTCAAGTTCCTGTGTATTTATATACTATAACTTAAAACATTATTGTACATAATTGATTTTTCTTTCAAAGTTTTGTCTTCCTTACTGCGTCCAGTATTTTATAAGTCAAGCTTCGCTGTCTCCTGTGACAGCTCTTGTTTTTGTCTAGTACTAAGTCTATCCATCATTCCTTGACTGTTTCGATAATTATTTTTAGTTAACACATAAGAACGCTCGTAAAAGGTTTTACTGTCACTGGAGTTCTTGCGACAAGTTATGGTTACATTTGTACTCCGTTAACACTGATTCAATGACAGAAGATGAGTTCATTTATTATGAGCAATATTCTATTTTGTACAGAATATTCAGACATTCTCAAAGACAATGCTTACGTTTCAGTTTTTTAGTTGAAGTTAATGTGCATGGCTCAAGACATAAATGTTACAGGACGTTTCTGTGGTGGCGATATGGTCAAATTCCATTGAATCAGAATTCAGCCATGTGGCGTTTTTCAAAATTCGTTACCAGCTTTTTTTGATGTTATTGTTGTTTTTGAAACTGTTATTGAAAAGTAACAAAGTCAGCTTTCTACCAGGCATCTTCAATTGAATCATGCCTAAATTTTAATCTATGCATCAACATCGATAAGTCGCATAAGACTATGGTGGCTGATTTGTGCCATTCGTGTTTTCGCCTCGTGACCACGCGAAGCGAAAAGTCGAGAATTAACAAGTTAAAATTGCGGGAGCGCGGAGTGAAAACAAGCTTATTAGCGAGGGCGTCGGGCACATTTTAATACATAAAACTTCGCCCCGCGTGGGTGCGGGGCGAGATTTAAGAAATCAAAACGGCGGGGTGCAGAGCGAAAACATGCTATTTTGCGGGGGCGCGGAGCGAAAACACGCCAATTAGCGGGGGCGGGCAGCAAAGTGTTATTTATTTAACTTCGCGCTGCGCTCTTTCGCTAACTTGTGTGTTTTCGCTCAACGCCCCCACAATTTTAACTTGTTAATTTTCGACTTTCGCTTGGTAGGGACGCGGGGCAAGAACACGAATGGCACTGTATAAAAAACTTTATCGTTGTCATAAATGTTATAAATATCATTATAAATATTAATAGTATTTTCCTAGTTTTGCTCGAGCGTTTATGTAAGCCCCTATTAGTACTTTTAACTAACATATTGACACACCCTCGTATCTACTGTCTTTAATTCGGACAGACGGATGGCGATTAAAAAACAAAATTATTTCAGGTATTTTATAACATGTGAAAATCAAAATTTAAAATATTTAACGAAATAACTAAAGCTAGTAAGTAAACAACAACGTTACAGAATTTATCTTATATAAAACCAAAACCACAAATCAGTTGTTTTATTAAATTTTGTCTATTAAAGTTTTTGTGTGAATCTCCACATTCTTTTTGATTTTGTCATTATATTCGTCTTAATCTTATTTCAGATTACAGAGTATTTCGTTTCTTTTTTGACACATATTATAGATGATATGTATAAATAATAATTCTTTCATTGCGATTTTGAAACATTCCTTTTTAGTCATTGTACTGTTCATGCTGGTTCAAAGAGTTTTGTTAACAAATTAAATACTTAAAAGATGCTTTCATTTCGTATATTTATTTGTTTCATTGCTAAATGGACCCAATAAAAAATTATTTGCACACAAAACCTGAAACCCAAATCCCTTGTAAGCAATTGGAAAAATAATTAATACTGACTAGATTATCAAAAGAATTAAACATTGGATAAAAATGCTTTCTTTTTTATGAACGCCCTAGTATATTATAAATTTCACACATACTCGTTTATCCAATGACAAGAAAATAGCTTGCATTGGAATAATTCATTAAGTCTCCTCTTGGTCAATTTTCTTTATGATAGTCAATGATACTGCAGCCAGTGGTGACAAATAATCTGCAAATAATAACCAAAGATATGCGCTTCAGATATTTTTTTTTAGATTATTTCTAAATGATAACTTATTTCATTCATGATATCAATTATTTTTATTCTTAAGGGTAGCAATCTCTGTTATGTCGCAAAATAGCAACAATACCCTCTTTTAAATCATTGGTGAATATTTCATTACCAAATTCTGACAAATGAACCAAATCCCGAAAAAGAGGCTGGGCTTCCACTATGTCTTGATGTCGAATATAGGCACCGCCAATTGTTTTACAAAATGATTGAAGTGTTGTATTAAAGCGCCTTCGTGCCTTGTTCAACTTAAAGTGGCTACGTTCACCACGGTAAAACATACGTGGAAGAATTTGCGACCAGACAATCTTTATATAAAACCCATTTTGAATACCTAACTGGTGTACATCATTCAATGTGCGTATTGCTAAAAGCTCGGCCTCATTTAAGGGTGTCTGTCCAATATCATTCCCACCACAGTGAATGATAAGCATATCAGGGTATTTCATATATTTCAGTGCTAAGTGCTGTATGGTGTTTGCCAGATGTTGAACCTTCATACCTGACCTAAATCCCAAACTATTTTGAGATCCAATCCAAGGTTGTGACCCTTGTTTTCGATGGAATAATAGTAGGCATCTCGGATAATCGAAGACCCTATAACCCATACCTCGGGAGGACCTAAAATTAACAATGAAGTTGATTGGTTTATACTCTTATGTAAGACTGATATACATTTGACTTCCAGCGTCCAGCCTGCTTAATTGCTGATTCAGACATACCTTTATTGAACATGTATGTGGCTCCACCCATTCTAAATGATTGTGATTTAAAAATGTTTAGAGGTTGTCCCAAATATTCTAGACATTTGCGTAAAACATGCTTAAACTGGTATTGGGTTAATGGCTTTCAATTTGCATGACATAGATATTGACCTTGAACGGCAGGTCTTTGTCTTTTATAATTTTCTAAAGTACGTTTGAGCAACACGGCGTCTTTACTCTCGAAATTTACCCGTATAGTTTGACCTTTACCCATCTGATCTGTTTTAGATGATTTTATGTGTATTTGAACAAATGAATCATTTGACTGAATTTCGTTGCAGAGAAATGCAGTTTCGCTCACGCGCATTAACCCAAAAAATGCGAGTAAAAAAGCTGTTTTGAAAAGTAATGTTTCATAATCGGACATGCATATAAACACCAAGCTATGTATAATTTGCTTAAGAAGGTGCAAAGTGATTGGCCTGCGAGAGTCTGATCGACTTTGTAATCTGTTCATTCCTTCTAACATTTTTCTTACTATGAAAAATTTAGTATTGTCTTGAACATTATTCATTTTGTTTACATAGCTAATGGCAGCGATGTGACAGTTTACCGTTTTATATGCATATCCGCCATGTGACATGAACGCTATATATTCTACGATTTCATTTAGACTGGGTGGCCAAACGCTCGGATAGAGCATTGAATTTCTAAATTTTTCTAAATGATTCTAATCCTGACTTGTAACATTTGTTTGTATTCTCACTTAAAGACATGTTTACCAGTCGAATGATTTCGTGTTGATAAATTGCTGAAAATCAAATGGGATAGAGAGAGGGGTTCTGCTAGCATTTACAGGCAAGCAATTCTGCAGTCTACGGAATTGTAATCTACTTATTGCGTCACATATATCATTTTTCTTCGACACGATGTGAATTGCTTTTATTTGTATATTGTTATAAAGCAATAACAAAACTAGTTTTCGGAGCAGAATCATGACTTTCAGATTTCGCGATGATTTTTTGTTAAGAATCTGCACAAGACTCATGTTGTCACAATTGATGATAATCTTTTTTCCTTTAAGCTTTGATCCCCATGTGTAAAAGGCTAATAGAATAGGGACTAGTTCAAGAAGAGTAATGTCTTTAAATACCTCATTACTCCAAAACATCGGCCATTCAAAAATTATCCATTCCCCGTCCATGTAAGCACCACAGCCTAAATGCCTGTTACCAGCAGCATCTGAATAAAGGTCAAGGTCATGATTTGACGACCAGTATTGATCACTGAATATAGACACACCATTAAAATGATCAAGAAATTGCAGCCAAGTTCTAATATCTTCCTTGTGATCTTTATTCAAGCGAATATAATGGTAAGATCTCTTTGCCTGACACTGTGCAGCGTATAATCTACAGTTAAAAGTACCACTGCTGGTATTGCTTTCGTGAAAAAATTTCAAATGCCAAGAATTGATTGCAGTTCTCTTAATCTAATTTTAGGTTTGACCAAGGCATCTAATAGCAATGATTTTGCTTCATTTATTTTGTCAAAGGGAACTCTTATTTCCATCTTTAAAGAATCAATATCTATGCCTAAATAAGTGATGATTGTATAAGGGCCATCTGAATTTTATCATCATTTATAGGAATATTCATATCTTTACTTATGTACTCAAAATCCAACATGAGGTTTGTGCAATCCTCTGTGCCGGCTTTTCCGGCAAAGAAAAAATCATCTAAATAATGATCTAAGTTTGACGAATTTGCATATTGAGAAACCGCCCAGTGAAGGAATGTTGAAAATTTTTCAAAATAGGCGGGGCTGACTGAACACCCTTGCGGAAGCATTTTTTGACTTGCCATCAAATTTGACACCTAATAAATCGAAATCGTCAGGGTGTACAGGACAGAGATTGAAGGCCGATTTAACATCTCTTTTCCCCATAAGTGCACCAGGGCCTAAACACTGTATTATTTTTATAACATTGTCAAAACGGGAATATTGAACCATAGTTAATTCACGATCAATAAAATCGTTGACACTAGTTCCATTATAAGGATATGACAAATGAGTTATTAGGCGCATTCCACCTGTACTTTTGGGAACTAGCCCAATTGGATTGATGCGTAAGTTTGCAAATGGTTTAATTGTAAAGGCACCTTAAAAGCGTCCTAATTGTACTTCCTTTTCAAGCTTTTTTTGCTAAAATTTTTGGGTATCTAATCGCAGACTGCAGATTTTTTGCCGTAAATTCACAGTGGGGACCACTGTATTGCAGCCTAAACCCCTCCCTGAATCCATGTAATATAAAATTTGCATTCTCCTTATTATAACCTTTGAGCCACATTTCTAGACGCAAAGTATCTATTGGGGTGTTGCCTAGGTCCCAAAGGTGCTCTAGGAGTTTCAAATTGTGGGAAGTGCTCAAACATGGGATGTCTGAAATGATTTTGGCTGAGATTATTATTAGATCTATAAGCATTTACAAATCCTGGTGTAGGTGATCTGCAAAGCAAAGCAGAATGCGGCCCGGTACATTTTTTACATTTATGCAAGTACTGACAACCCGGTTTTGAACAAAACCCTTTACCGTTGAACTCATAGCAGTGATTTTGTTTGTTTGATTGATTTGAGCTTACATTCGTCATTGTTACCAACCATATCTCAGCATCAATATTTGACCATTTTGAATTTGGATATTATGACATTTTATACCTGAAATATTTGTCATATTTAATCCAGCCAATCGGATTTAGTTTTGACGCAGATCGTATTGTGTTTAAATAATGCAACAATTCTATGGCTACTTCGGGGTGTTTTGCAATCAAAATACTCATATATTTTAAAAAGGCATCAGTCCATTGTTCAATTGACAAAACAGTATGTTTAATAGATCTAGAACTATCAGACAAGACTAGTACGCCATTTACAACTTTAAATATTTTACTTTGAGCGGAGGAATCTTTTTCTAATAAGCATGTTAAATCAACAAATTCTCCACTCAATATTCGTTCTTTTGTACTAGCGTTTACATGCAAAGCCATATCAGTTACTACCGAATTGAAAACATTTTCATTACCTGATGTTTCATGTACCATCGGGGGCTGCCCAACCACAGGTGACTCGAACATTCCTCCAGCAGGAGACATCTGCAAGCCTTGTGAAGTTGAATCAAATCCTTCCGATACCGAGGCCGTTGAAGGAACAGCTCCCTGACAATGCTGTGTATATGGCACTTGCATTGAATTTGAAGGATAAAGCGACTGTTGTCCCAACATCCCTGGGACATGGGTATGTGTTACTGGTACAACTGAGGCTGGTACTACACAATTAGCCAGCTGCGAGTAATGACCTTGATTCTGTACAGATGACGTATTCACTGAATTTGAATGATAGAGCGACTGTTGTCCCAACACCCCTGGGACATGGGTATGTGACGAATAATGACATTGGTTCTGTACAGATGACGTATTCACATAATCGTTCTGATTAGTGTGATAGTACTGATTGATTTGACCTTGGTCCTGAGTTACTGCTGCATAATTTGTTGTTGTTGCATTAGACTGAACTACAGCCGGCTGCTCTACAATGGGTTGCATGGAGAATTCAATCTGATGGGACCGTCTCCCTCTTGATCTTGTGGCTGACCTAGTCTGCCCTCGCGTCTTCCATGTAGATTTACAGTTCCTCTTACGCCGAGGCATTTTCTCAAGAAATAAAAAATTAGATCTAATAAGTAAATTATTAACTATCAGTCAATATAGATCTAGCGGCTAAAAGAAAATGCAATGTCGAATATATCTTATCTCCGTTAATAGATAGAGAGCCTCCAGACTAAACCTACTGTAACATGTAGTTCTATATCTAGCATTCCTGCTGATCAAGTATCAATAATTATCGATATTTACAGTACACAACAAGATCAAGATATAATTTATGAAATTAGTAGATATTCAATATAAATCTACCATTAAAAGTAGAAAGAAATCTTATTCAATAAATAAATCTTAAATCAATTTCAAATTAATTTGTAAGAAAAAGCAAAATGTCGACCTTCCTGCTTGAATTCCTCGAGGAAAAGGATTGAAAACGCGCAAGGTCTCGATGACATCAGATTTAATTATGACGTCACGCACAACACGTGGTTGAAGCAACAAGACCGGACGAGTTCTCTCCCTTTAATGGGGACCAGATAACTGCATTCATTTAAAGACGAGCTGTAAATGAATGGATTTATATATCATATATTATTTCTAAATGATGATTTATTTCAGTTAAATATCATATATTATTTCTAAATGATAATTTATATCAGTTATATATCATAGATGCCACTGTTAAAGAATACGAACCTTATTGAATCGGTTAAGACCGGCAGATTTTGAGTTTCATCTCAAAACAACTGAAGCTGCTCTCGTTGTCTTTCGACATTTTTTCGTATATTTATCTATTTTCAGTATATTTTGTTCCGGTTTAACATTTTCGATTACTTTATTAGTGTGAGGGAATTTAATTCAACATGTTGCCGTTTACCACATTATCTGCGTTATTCTCCTTCACTTTCTTAACGAAAATTGTCGTCTGCTAAACGATGCTGTTTTAGTCCAAGAAATCCGTGCAAAAATAGGGTGAATTGAGCACCTCTAGTGAAAAGCAGAAACTTGGCATGGTGGCAGGAAATCGTATTTCAATTCATTTTAGCCTGAGTTCCACTTTTTAAAAATTCAATATGGCTGCCAAAATCAAAGATGGCCGCCATATAATAAATTTTCAGAATAATTGGATATTTCAGTTGTAGTCATAACAAGAACTGTATGACTGTATGAAATAGCACCAATTCATTAAATTACACTTCAATTTATACTCAAGCCTCGGATCCAGGTCGTGCAAATCCAAGATGGCCGCCAAAATCCAAGATGGCCGCCATATATTAAATTTTTCAGAATATTTTTACAAGTTTTACAGCTGTAGTCAATACAGGTCAGTATGAAATAGCACCACTTTAATATATTACACATTTATATGAGCCGCGTTACGACAAAACCAACATAGTGGGTTTGCGACCAGCATGGATCCAGACCATCAGGATCCATGCTGTTCGCTTACCAACCCTATAATAAGAAGAGAAACTGATAGCGAACAGCATGGAACCTGATCAGACTGCGCGGATGCGCAGGCTGGTCTGGATTTATGCTGGTCGCAAACCCATTATGTTGGTTTTGTCGTGACGCGGCTCATATATATTCAAGCCTCGAAGACAGGTTGTGCAAATCCAAGATGGCTGCCAAAATCCAAGATGGCCGCCATATTGAAATTTTCAGAATGTTATAGTTTTCAGCTGTTGTCGTAATTACAGAACAGTATGAAATAACATCAACTTATAATTATTGTATTACATAACTACATTATTATTTATATCAAGCCTTGGATCTAGGTTTTGCAAATCCAACATGGCTGCCAAAATCCAAGATGGCCACCATATAAAAATTTTCAGAAACAAATATAGGGGTTAAACCATCTCATAATTTCATTACCTGACCTTGAATAAGAATCTCTTTTGCTAGTTAAAGATAATTTCAAAGGCGA